ATGAGAGAACATATTGGGAAATAATATATCTGATAAAGGGTTAGTATTCAAAATCTATAAAGAACTTATACAACTCAACACATTAAAAAAAAAACAAACAATCCAATCAAAACATGGGCAGAAGACAGGAAAAGACATTTCTCCAAAGAAGACACACAGATGGCCAATAGACACACGTAAAGATGCTCAATATCCCTAATCATCAGAAAAATGCAAACCAAAACCATAATGAGATTTCACCTCTCATATGTGACAGAATGGTTAAAATCAAACTGGTGCAGACACTACAGAAAACAGAGTGGTGTTTCCACAAAAAATTAAACAAAGAATTACCATATGATGCAATAATTCTGCCACTGGCTCTTTACACAAAGACTACAAAGACACCAATTCGAAAAGTTATCTGCACCCCTATGTTTACTGCAGCATTATTTATAAGAGCCAAATTATAGAAGCAGCCCAAGTGTCTACTGACAGATGACTGGATAATATGTGGAACACGCGCGCATGCGCGCGCGCGCGCACACACACACACACACACACACACCCCAGATACTACTCAGCCATAAAAAAGAATGAAATCTTGACATTTACAACAACATGGATGAATCGAGAGAGTATAATGCTTAGCCAAATTAGCCAGTCTGAGAAAGACAAATACCACATGATTTCACTCATATGTGTAATTTAAGAAACAAAACAGAACAAGAGAGACAAACCAAGGAACGGTCTTAACTATAGAGAACAAACTGGTGGTTACTAGAGGAGAGAAGGTTGGGGGAATGGGTGATATGATTAAGATGAAGGGGATTAAGAGTACACTTATCATGATGAGCACTGAGTAATGTACAGAATTGCTGAATCACTGTATTATACACCTGAAAGTAATGTAACACTATATTTTAACTATACTGGAATTAATTTTTTTTTTAAAAAAAGGAATACTACTGGCAAAATAATATAGTATGTTGTATTCAACCACCAACAAAAAGAAAAGACAGGAAGGCATAAATGGAGTCAAAGTATTGTAAGGTTCTTACGTTACCTAGAAAAAGTAAACTACTAATATAAGGCTAGGCTCTTAAATAAGTCAAGGATGCATATTATAAGCTCTAGAAAAATCACTTGGGTAATAAAAGTGTCTTAATAACCCTGGGGGAAAAAACTGAGTAACAAAAAATTTCCTGAATAATCCAAAGGAGGGAAAGAAAAAGGGGGGAGGAAATCAAATGGAAAACAACTAGGGGGATGATGGCTTTAACCCCAACTTTATCTCTAATTACAACAAATGTAAATCAACATAATACTAAAATTAAGAGACAACATTCATCAAATTGGATAAAAAACAAAACCCAACTACTTGCTGTTTATACAAGGGACATTTTAAATGGAAAAACAAAGAAATACTTAAAGAAAAAAGCAGAACAAGATATACCATGCAACCATAAGATGGTTGATGTGCCTGTATTAAAATCAGACAAACTAAACTGGAAACCCAAACACATTGCTAGAAATAAAGAGGAACATTTCATAATGAGGACAAGGTCAATTCCACAAAAACATAATGACCCTTAACTTATATGACCTGAATAGTATAGCCTCAATATACAGAGAGCAAAAACAGAATGTAAAGAACAAACAGCCAAGTCCATAATCATACCTGGAGATTAACCTACCTCTCTCAGAAATGATGAAAAAGGTGGCAACAAAATCAGTAAGTATATAGAAGACGTGAACAGCGTAAGTGATAAATATGACATAACTGACATATATCAAACATTACAATCCACAACAGCAAAACACACCTTCCTCTCAGGGCACATAAAACATTTACCAAAGTACCAAATGCTGAGATTACTAAACAAGACAGTACATTTCAAAGAATGATATCGGTAACAAAAAAAAATAACTAAAAAGCCTCACATGCCAGAAATTAAGCAATATACTTCTAATTAACCCATGGGTCTATAAAGAAATCACAGGAAGAATTTGAAGTATTTTTTAACTGAATGGTAACAAAACTGAATTAAAGTTAAGATTACAAGAAAAGCCCTAATGTTTTAAACGCATATATAAGAAGTAAAAATCAATTATCTATGCTTCCACTTCAAAAACCTGAGTAATTACTAGAACACTGCAAATTAAATCCAAAAAAGTAATAGGAAGTACATCAAGCCTTCAGAAGCATAACAACTAAAGCAAAGACAGGCCAGAGGACAAAACAGAGAATCCAAACACACACCGTTCCAGGTGCAAGGCCTGATCCCTAACACGGAAACCATGGAAATGAGACAGGGCAAGAGTGACGGTAGCTGTGTCTCCTTCGCATATGCCCCTTACACAGAAATCACGTCCAGACAGATGTAAACATAAAACAAAGCTTCTAGGAGAAAACCGAGATTATTTTCATAATCTTGCAAGGAGCAAAATTTTTGTAAATGGGCCCCAAAAGAAATATAAAACGAGCTAACTTGAACCTCCTTAAAATTAAGAATTTCTCTTCATCTAAAAACATAAAAAACTGACAGGGACATGACAAAGCAGGAGGAAATATTTTCAGTACATAGTTTCAACAAAGGACCTAAGTCCAAAATACATACAAAGTCCCACAAATCAATAAGATAACCCATTTTTTTATGTACAAATGGCAGGCCCTTCATAAAACAGGATATCCAAATGACTAATAAGTATATGAAAAAGGTACTCACAGCTCATCAGAAAAATGGAAAAGCTACCTAAATGACAGATAAGACCAAGCGCGCTATAAGAATGTGGAGCAAATGCCAACACTGATATGCTGCTGGTGGGAGTATAAATTAATACTGACACTTTGAAAACCAAGTGATAGTATCTACTAAAGCTGAACATACATCCGACCATACATGACAATAAAATGCACACTTATGTGCAATATGATATGCAAAAGAGTTTTCAAAGAAGCATTATTTTTAATAGCCAAAATCTAGGAACAACCTTAATGCCCATCAACAGTAGAACAAATAGATACATGATGGTCCTAAAATGTAATGTCTTACTCGTAGCTAAGAGTGAGCTTTTCATGCAACTACATGGATAAATCTCACAAGTGTAATACTGAATAAAAGTCAGACACAAAAACAACATCTATTATAAGACTTCCATTTATATGACGTTCAGAAACAGGTTAAAACTAATGAAAATGGTGAGAGATGTTCAAATGCTGCTGGAGAGAGGGTGGATAGGTGACAGTGAGGGGCAGGCGGGAGGCTTTGTTCCACCTAGTTCCATGGGGTAGTTACATGGATGTGGCCACATTACCAACATTCTAACTGTACCCACCATTTGTGCACTTTTTCAGTTATGTTATATATTATAGTTCCATAAAAGTTTCTTTAAAACCTTAACAGTGAGTAAACAAATGAGCAAACAAGATTAACATTCAGGTGAAAAGAATGAATGCCTAAGGCAAGTCTGTGCTTTCCCATGAGAAAGGACCTCTTAAATCCTTTTATAACTGTGCCGTACCCGCAAAATCATGTTTTCTACCAAAATCTTTTGCTTTAAGCTTGAAATTCAAGTTTTCTTCTATGTCAGGAAGCCAGGTTCAAGAGTTTTCATAATTTTAACTAAGAGAATATAATACAATGATTAGCTACCAAGAAAGAGAGTGAATACGCAAAAAAAAATACGTTAAAGAAACAAGCTATTAACCTAGAGAAAAGTTAACACTGCACCTTTAACTTCATGCACAAACTATCATTAGATGAATTCAGATTATACTCCAAGCAGAAACTGTAGAGTATCTAATTAATTAGGACCCAGTTAAAGTGGCACTGTATATAATAATAATATATAAGCTTAAATTAATCCTCATTCCATGAAAATGGTGGTAGGGGCACGAACTACATAAGATGAAACTTAGACAAGAACACAAACAAGCAGATGTTTTAAGTGTCCTATATTTAAATGAGTTCTGTAACTAATCTTTGTTCCCTGCACTTTGGAAGCCACCTAAAATGTAACTGGACACAGCAGGAGAGAAGTATGCACTGCTGTGATGGTTCCAGGAACTCAGTCACACACAATTGCTCATCACTAAATACTTATGAATTCTAAAATAATACAAAGGGTTTGCTTTACATTACAGTATCCTAAGTGCAGCCTTAAAATATTCTAGTTGCTTCTGATATTATTCAAGGGCATATTTTATATGCACCTTGAAGTCCTCTGACAGGTTTTTAAAGGACTTACGAATATAAGAACATAAAGAGCTACAGTGCCATCTGCTGGAGAACAAAGACCATGTTACTTCTTTGGCAAAGTTCACTATATTCTATCAAACAAATTCCAGAGTCATGTCTACATTGCATTTCCATCATTCATAGAACATGTAATTAACTATTAAGAGAAATCTGTTTGCTTAACCATCTACAGAGCAATTACAACTGAATCTGATGAGATTACAAATGTCTACTACCCCATTCCCACCCACAAAGGAAATTATACAGAAGACTTGGAAATTAATATCCAGCTGGCTCAGAAAGGACCTGGGATTTCCTTCTCAATGACTTTTTCCAAATTCCTAACTAACCTCATATTTCTCTTTAAAAAAAAAAAAAAAGACTTTTTTCAACATGACTCGTTCACTCAGCATTTGTTTTGTGCCCATAATATTAGATAGCCTCAAAAGCAGAGGACAACAAGAAATCCACAATATCCCACCCCAAATAAAAAAACTCATGGAGAAAAGCAATAATATGAACACTGACTTATGTAAAACACTTTACTTCTTCAGTAGTTAACACATTTTTCTTTTAAATATCACATGCTTCACAAACATGAATGTCATCCTCCACAGGGACCGTGCTAACCTTCCCTGCACTGTCCCAATTTTACTACGTGTGCTGAAATAAGCACAAATGCATCCTGCCACATAAAGAATAAAAATTAATAGGAACGTTCTTATACCTCCCTGAATCTGTAAAGGATTACACTGGGAAAGGAAGAGTGATGGAACTTACTGAGGCGCTACACGTCTCCAGTAACGATCAATTCCATTCTTAAAATACAGCACAGCAAGCCACCTTACATTTATATCCAGAGTGTGGTTTGTGAAAATATTCTGTAAATAAAAAACACAGTATTAAAATGAACAGGTCATAAGTTAAATTACTATACCGATGTTAAAGTACGGATAATACTTTATATGTTTCACTTAAATTTTATCACTACAGAGATCATATATTCTAAGTATCTATAGCTCTACAATGCATATGAGAAAGCACACCTGGTAGAAGTATGTTAATTTTTTAAGCTGAGTAATAAATATCTGGGACTCATTAAACTAGTCTACCTGTAGGTATGTTTGAAAATTTTCCAAATAAAAAATTAAACTCAGAAACAAACCTAATCATGTATCACAATCTATACACGTACAAAACACTGAACACCTTCTCAATTAAAAAAAAAAAAAATAGCCCCGTCAAAGCATATATTCAAAGATTCTTTTTTTTTTTTTAAAGACTTTATTTATTTATTTGACAGACAGAGAGAGTTAGTGAGAGGAGAAACAAGCAGGGGGAGTGGGAGAGGGAGAAGCAGGCTTCCCGCTGAGCAGGGAGCCTGATGTGGGGCTTGATCCCAGGACCCTGGGATCATGACCTGAGCCAAAGGCAGACGCTTAACGACTGAGCCACTCAGGCGCCCCTATATTCAAAGATTCTAAGGAGTCAAAATCCCTGGATTCTTAGCACATGCTATGAAATAAACTATTTCAAAGTATCCTCCTTATCAAAACAATTATGCTTACAAATAAGTTTAGCAGCAGAACATTAACCCAAATACAGGCAGTCCTTGTTTTGCAGAGCAGTGGGAGATCATAAAAATGACTGCGCAAGCTAAACATGCAACAAGATCTTAATCATCAAGGTGAAAATTACAATTTGTTCTGTGACCTTTACACATTTTTACCAAAAATTTATTAACATTATCAAAAATTTATAACATATTTGTATATGCAAATAAAAACAAATATTAACACTGAAATTTAAAACATGACCAAAACAGAATTAAAGTGTTTTATTTCCTTATAAAAAATGTACCTAGAATAGTGAGTACATAGCAAACGTAGGAATGTTAATTGAAACTGCACTACACCTCAGACCAAAAACAACTCAAATCCCCAGAGGTGACCTCTTAAACACAACCTTGTGTGAGAAAACCTCAAAATCAAAAACAATGATGTAGATATACATTCCTTACCTTAAAAAAAAACACTGCATGTAAACTATCAAAAACAGGTATGTATAATTCCATTTTTAGAAAATCACGTACAGCGTGCCTGGGTAGCTCAGCTGGTTAAGCGACTGCCTTCGGCTCGGGTCATGCTCCTGGAGTCCCGGGACTGAGTCCCACATCGGGCTCCATGCTCAGCAGGGAGTCTGCTTCTCCCTCTGACCCTCTTCCCTCTCGTGCTCTCTATCTCTCATTCTCTCTCTCAAATAAATAAAATCTTTAAAAAAAAAAAAAATCATGTACATGCCAAAAAGAAAAAAAGATTACAAGGATAGCTGTGTAATGCCCACTTACTCCTTAACACCCCTGACAACGAAGTCGGAGACCTTCTTTTGGGTCATCTTTGCAAAGAATAGTCTTCTCCCACCATATTAATCACATTCGATTTTAACACTTATCATGTCTACCTTCCACAACAGACTTTGTCATAAATATCATGGAGCAAATGAACAAATGAATGGAGGTAATGTGGGAATACTATGGAAAGATGGCGGATATCAGCCTGTGTCAGCTGCACGTGGGTAACCAAGGAAAGTCAAGCTGCAGGTGTGAATCCAAGTAGAAATATTCCTTAAGTATTTTGAATAATAGGACTGGAACACAAATCTGAGGATCAAATATACAAATTCAGGACCTCCGAACTAGAAAGAACAGCTAAGGCTACAACAGATTAAAAGTGCCAAGACAGTGAGTTGAGGAAAAAATTAAAAATTCCTGCCTTTAACTTAGTTTTCCATCTATTATAAATACAATCTACTCCATCTAAAGCAATTCTACCCCTCTAAGAAGAAAAGCAGAGCTAATAAATATAAAAACAAAGGCTTAGGCACTTAATATTATTAATAATTCATACAATGTACAAAAAGTCAACAGTTAAAAGACTACTGGTTTTTTTAAGGTCCAGGAGTAACCTAAGTAAGAAACACCAAAATGTTTTATATTTTGGCCTGAAAAAACACAAGGCTAATTATACTGCATATTCATTTAAAAAAGCATATGAAAAATAAGGATACTCAGAAATATTCTAAAGATTTATACTGCACCCAAATTTTACAAACATGATACTGGGATTATCCAAATAAGGATAGAATATTTTATCTTTAAAAATCAATGTTTTAAAGAAAAAAAATTTTTTATTCCATCTGGTTTTTTTACCTTTTTTCTACGAAGCCAAATACCCAAATTGCATGTTATATTCAGAATATCAAGTATGACTCTAGACATGACCAGTATCTTCTTAAGTTTACCAAATAACTCAAATATTTTAGCCATGAAGTAAAAAAACACGTATGTCAACTTCCACAATTTTCTATTTTTACAAGACACAGTAAACAGTTTACTTTGCATTTGCAACCCAGTCCCAAAACTCAATCAGTTTGTGATCCAACTGGTATCCTCACTGCCCGTGCCAAAAGCAAATCTCACACGTTAACCAGAGTTCTAAAATTTTCAGAAAAAAAAAAAAATCAGAAAGACCCTCAATACAAAAAGACATTCTTTTATTCTGGCATCGAGAAAATAATTTTGATTAACCAAAAGCTTTGAACTCCTAGGAAAGTTTAGTTAAAGCATATACTGTTAATTACCATACTATTTTCCATTATCACCCAGGAAAAGACCAAATGTGTTAAGAAAATGAAATTTTTAGAAGGGGCAAAGAAAAACATGTTTTGAAGTAACACAGTGAGCAAGGTAGACCAGACTGATGCTACATGGAGACCCGAACAACTTTGACAACATAAATTAACCGGGGCAAATGAGGACAAAACAGGAAAGTGTACTACCTACAGTCCTGAGGTCAGCATTAACATGCTAAAATAGAGTATCAGCACAGTGCTGCCTTGTGAGCAGAAACAACCAATACCCTGCTCACTTATCCATTCAACAATCAACAAACATTTCAACACCCTCAAAAGCCACGCCCTGAATTAAGAAATGGCAGTGGCAATGACATTTAGATCAGTTTCACTAAAGTAAACCACCAATACAAGTAGATTCTTAGAACAATTAAAATAAGTGTCTCATTTTATAAAAAATAATAGTGAACTATTTTAGAACAACTTACCAGCAACACTGAATAGAAACCTGGCTGTGTCTCCCACTGTTTCAACTGCTCCTCTGCTGGTTTTAACACAGCGGTATCCTGACTGGTGGCCTGTGTTAAGACCTGAAGAACAACAGTGCTGGCACTATTGAGATCCATGGAAACCTGGTAACGATACGTTAACATACTTGAATAAATATACATAAAAAACCAACAGTAACACAGAGAAAAAGCGTCAATGTACTGAATTACTCCCATACTTCAATCATTCATTCACCTACTCTTGCACGTTTCTGCTGGATTTCTATTTTTACTATGTTATTACCGATAGTCTAAAATTCCAGTAATTCAAATCGCTTTTGCTTAAATCAATTTATCATTTTTTTAAGATTTTTTTAATTTTAAAGATTTTATTTATTTATTTGAGAGAGAGGGAAAAACAGCATGAGAGGGGAGAGGATCAGAGGGAGAAGCAGGCCGGGAGCCCGACGCGGGACTCGATCCCGGGACTCCAGGATCATGACCTGAGCCGAAGGCAGTCGCTTAACCAACTGAGCCACCCAGGCGTCCCCAAATCAATTTATTTCTGATGGAAACTGCCTTCATTGTCCCATAAATAGAAGGTAACAGTAAACAGGGAACAAACAAGAAACTCACACCCAAAAACCAAAGCTACTTAATTCTGATTATCACCATCTGCCTAAGACTAAGCACAATGCCTTTTGTCTTAAGGAGATTAATAAGCGTTATAAAAGAATTAACCACTATATCCCTAGTTAAGATCAAAAGAAGAAAAATGAAAAAGAAGTTCTTTGACTCATTGCTAAGTACCTCAGAACATCACCTTATACACCACCAAAAATATGTGTCTAAAACATTTTTTATAAGTGAAAAGACAAACATATAGTCAAGAAATACTGTGGGGGGAAAAATGAACTAAGTCAACAAATATAAAATATAATATAAAAATATAAGCCCTAAATTAGAAAGGATCTTAAGAGTTGGATCATCTAATCCTATACCAGGTCATCTGAAGCCATTCTAAAAGTTCATTTAGCAATTTATTGAATTCTCTAGCATTGTTTCTAATCACCCCCGAAACAGTATACAACTGTATACTTACCCAAGTATGTATAATTGTTCACAATACACTTATATGAAGTATATAAGATTAAAATTAAAAGCTAAAAATAGACAGAAAATAAACCTCAGTGCAGAAGTGACTGAGAATTAGCTTTGTGATTGTAGTTGTATCTAAAACTGAAAACTGTTCCAGACAGTAGAAGTCTGAAGGTCATTAATCCATAAACATAGCCAAAGCAAACACTTCCTAAGAGTTGTAATTAAGTTGCAATAACTAATGAAAACGGAAGGTCCCAAATGCTGACTCAACAAGAAATGACCCAAAGTATTACACCTGTCAAGGAAAACTAACCATTCTAAAGCCTATGTTAGTAAAGCAGGGCTAGGACACAATAACTGGAATCAGACAAAATACTAGCAATTAGCAATGGAGGTGGAGGTGACTTTAAACTGGTAGTCTGTTCTTGTCTGTATTTTAGAACTGAGGAAGATACCTTGTAAAGTGCCTCCCTCACTAACTGGGAGCTCCCTCAACAATTTAAATCTCTGTGTTCATTATCACTTGAAAATAAGTGAATGGATTTACACTCAATTTAGAGGGCTTGTTGGTCATGTATGATTTCAAAGACAGGCTATCTGAGAGCAATTTACTTTATGGAGGCCCTAGAAGGTATTTTAAGGAGAGACGCGGTATGTTTTTCTGTCTAGGAGAAATACAATGCAAGCCACAAAAGCAAGCCATGTATGCAATTTTACATTTTCTAGCAATCATATTAAGAAGTGAAAAGAAAGATATGGAATTATATTTAAGAATATATCATATTTAACTCAATATATCCAAAATATTATCATTTCAACATTTAATCAGTATTTTGAAAAAACTAATTTAGATATTCTGTGCTTTTTTTTATACTAAGTCTTCAAAATCCTGTGTATTTTATATCCTGTGTATACTTAAAGCATATCTTATTTTGAAGATTTTATTTGCCAGCAAGAGAGAGAGAGAGAGAGAGAGCACACAAGCAGGGGGAGTGGCAGGCAGAGGGAGCTGCAGCAGGCTTCCTGCTGAGCAGGGAGCCCGATGCGGGGCTCGATCCCAGGACCCTGGGATCATGACCTGAGCCGAAGGCAGACGCTTAATGACTGAGCCACCCAGGCGCCCCAAAGCATATCTTATTTTGAACTAACCACATTTCAAGTACTCAATAGCCACATGTGGCTACTGGCTACTGTATTAGCATAAGTCTGGAAAAGTCTTACTCAAAGTGTGGTCCAAGGACTGCCAACACCAGCAACACATCCCAGAAATAAAAATTCTCCATTCTCTCTCCAAACCTACATCGTGAAAACAAGGGCTGCAGGTCAAAAATTTGTAAGTTCCTAGTAAGTTCTCTAGGTAATTCTAACTTCCAAAGTCTGAGAAGCACAACTTTTGAATATCTAAAACTGAGGTACATCTGAAAGTCCAGCAAATGCAGTGGATGACAAAATGTACAGCAGTTTCTATTACATGTTCCTGCAAAAGAAGAGTAGATGAGCACTGATCTGCAGCTCTCATAAGGAACCATTATGACATAAAGAACACGAATTCAGTGATTCTTCCCCAAGAAGGGGAAGAGCAGCCAGCTAAAATAAATTTTTTAAAAGCACCAATATCTGAGCATATATATTATATGTCAAGCATTGTACTAAATGCTTTCTTTATTCACTTATTTATTCCTAATAATTCTGTGTAGTAGATACTATTATCCCCATCTTTTAAGTAGAAAAGTGAAGAATCGGAAACCTTACCTTGCAAAGGCCGTAATCTACAAAATAGGAGGGCTTAGACTTGAACACCAAAGCCACTGGTGTTAATCAGTATCTACTACTGTCTTCCTTGAGGGACAGAACTGATACCTAACCACAGCTTTGTAGTCCCAGGAGCCCAACAAGATCCATGATCTATGCTTGCTGAACACATATTTGGTGAATAAAGGAAAGCGGTCAATTTTGAACCAAAGAGTAGTTTACACTGAACCACATGGCAGTTAATTAACAGATTTATTCAGTAACTACTGAAAGCCTGCTGTGTACCAAGCACTGTTCTAGGGGCTGAGAGTAAAGCAGTGAACAAAGCAGTTTCCCTGGCTTCGTGCCACTTACATTCTAGTAGAAGAAGTGATTTCTGTTTTAAAAAAAGGGCAAGAAAAAAAACAGAGGTAGTAATATGAAGAAAATACAATAATGTTAAACATCAACTGCAAGTTTCCACTGGGTACTCAGGGAGGGTTTCTCTTAAGTGACATTTACAAAAGACATGAAAGACAAGAGACCCAGGCATGCAAAGATCTGAAAGCAGAGCTCCAGCTAGACAGGGAAAATAATGGAAAACAAGGCCTCAGGATTAGAAACAAACTTAAGAAGGCCAGTATAATTGACACTTAATGAGAAAAAGGGAAAATGGAACCAGATGAGGTTGAAGTAGGCAGGAACAGATCATGTATGACCTTGTAGGAGAAAAAAGGGGTCTTGACTTTTATACGTGTACCAAAAAAGCCAGTGGAAGAATATGTGAATATATGAATATGAATATAATAGACAAAAGGTTCTACCAGAATTCATCCCCACCCAACCCTACCCTTCAAGAAAAAAGAAAAAGGCCATGTCCGTGGTTGAACTGGTGACTGACAGATCTCTTCCTTTTAAAGGTCTGTTTGTTTCTTCATTGCATTTAGCAAATTATCTCTGGGTGACATTTGGACACATTGGGAATATTCTGTTCCCCCACAGACGTTCTTTCACCTATTGGTTTTAACATTTTAGGACCTACTACTTGAAAAATAAGATCACTGATTACTGTCAACCTCCAGAGAAATTTTTAACTACAGCAAAAATTGTGCAGAGCACTCACACACACACATATCTTCACACTTGTCTGGACTTTTGCCGCAAGGCAATCCTTAAGTCTATATACTTGGACCCTTTATGCTTCGCTTTACACTCACCATTCACCCGTTCTAATGGAAGCTGCGAGAGTTTCCATCCCTACCTCCCTCCAGTGTCTTGCTCCATCTAGGTCCTCCATAGAAGCATATACCCTGTCCCTCCGCCCCCCGCTTTTGAACCTTGTTCCCAAAAAGCCCATCCAGCCTGGGACAAAGAGTGAGCTCTTTGTTCATATATTTCTGGAAAATCAATTTTGTGCCAAGCACTATGATCGTTGTTAGGATGGTAAGAACCAGAAAGGTCCCTTTCTCTACCCAAATTCTGGGAGATAATGAAGTTGGAAGCAGAGAACTATTCTAATCATTAAAACAAACTGTAAAAAGTAAGATTTTAGAATACTGGTGGGAATCCAGAGTGTATTTCCTCCACAGAAACAATATCATGAGTGGTTCATCTAATGAGTAAAAGGCTTTTAGGTCAGAGAAAGAAACCACCGTTTAGACCTTCTACTGGAAAGATTACTAAGTGCTAATTAACTTATAAAGGAAACTTTAAAGGGCAATCAGTTCCAAACTGCAGATTAAACACATCATCAAAAATAACAATTCAGGAATGACAGACCTATAATAGATTATTTAAAATACTACATTGCTAGAGCCTATTAAATTTTTTAAAGATGCCATAACAAGACTATAAATAAAAGCAAATCCAGAATGTGGAATACTATCACTGTTTTATAAGAGGAAAAACTTACAGCTATCAACAGAGTTGTCCAGGGTCAGGTAGCAAACTAGGACATGGCAGAGTGAGGCCTGATAACCAAATCTCTGGGACACAAGCTCTCCCTATTAGAATAGAAAAGGGCCTCACCACACCACCTGACTTCCCCAACACCTACAAACACACCGTGTTCTCACATGATAGGTTCCTGGAGAAACAGTGAAAAAGACTCCTGAATCCATTATTATCTCAAAGGATCATGCTTTCTATGTAGTAAATATTCATACAGTGCTCAATTGTAGAATTCTTTTGAAAGGACAGCAATGGCAATGAAGAACTGAAGAACAGAGAGAAATGTACTGAGTCATTCAAATGTAAGAATGTGGAAATAAACTTCATTTGGATAAAAGATACAGGACTACTAACTACTGGTGGTCAGTTTAGAGGGTGGTACACCCAGCAACCTTCAATACCCTTTTTTGGAATGAGCATGCTGAAATTTAATAGGATTGCTACTGTTATTTTCACTTGGTAATGAAGCAGATACATAGCTTGTCTCCAAAAAAACCTCAAGATCTGAGAGTAACAGAGAAAGACAAAGGGAGAAGAAGGAGAGGGAGGGCAGTGGTGGACGGTAAGGAAGAGGCAGACACTGACTAACTCATGGGAAGAGCTAAAGGTATTTCTCAAAGAACTTGAAAGGATCTTCACGGAAACCGTCACCAGAGAAGCCTGAAGGCCAGGGAAGCAAGTCTCTCACAGCAGAAGCACAGGTGTGTCCCCGCTGTACAGATGTCTGTGCGTAGTGAGAGAAATCCTCTACCTGTGTTAAAAGAATGAATACCTACGTTTCCTAATTAATAATGTACACACCGAGGTTGCTCTGATTTTCATTAATGTGCATAACTTCAAATTCATAGGCAAGAGGTGAAAATGCTTGTGTTTTATTAGTTCTGAACTAAAATACAGAAGAGAATTATTCAAAATCTAAATGCATGTTCTTTTTTCTCTAAGAATAATAAGGAGAAGGTGCAAATTAAAAGGACAGGCACTTCACCTCACTATTTTACAATTCAGTCAGTTCAATTTATTACTGGAGTTATTGTAGTCTTTAATACTATTAAGGTCTAGGCAACCCAGAAGTAAGTGACCAAGAGCCTAAAAATACTCATACTCCATAACTGGACTTTTTAGGCTCATTTCTGGAAGTTTCCAAATTCTGGAAAAATCCTAAGTCCAAAGATATACAGGTGTGCCTATAGCTGGAAACTTACTAATTTTCATAAAAACAAACAAGTAGACAAGGGAAAACTCAGCACCCCTGCCTGTCACCAAAAGACAGACTCTTCAGGCCTTCAGTGACTTTAATTTCAGCCATGATGATTTTCTACTACATTATATTTGTCCTTCATTTTAAAACGTGCCACACAAACAGTAACTCCACACCACTATTAAATATTAGAGTGGTGAGTGAAATGACTTAGAAAAAAAAAGGTGTATCGTAAAAATGGAACAAAAAAAGTTTCAAAATCAAAAAACGTTCCCCCAGTGAAATAACTTATTCAGGCATGGATCAATAAGAGATGCTAAAACCATTAAGTGAAAGAACAACTTTTAGGAAGAGAATATTCCCAGTGTGTTCAAACAGATTACTTGCTAAATGCCGTGAAGAAACAAACAGACCTTTAAAATGCTGATATCTGTCAGTCACCAGCTCAACCAACAGTACAAACTTAGTATCAACAACAGCTGCACAACTTGACCTTAAGTGCCTCCCCATGTAATGTAATAAGAAATATACCACCTCACCTCTAAAACACGGAATATCATCCACCTTAATCTAACCAAGATTCTAGGGGACGCCTGGGTGGCTCAGTAGGTTAAGTGTCTGTCTTTGACTCAGGTCATGATCCCAAGTTCCTGGGATCAAGCCCTGCGTCAGGCTCTCTGGGGCAGGCTCTCTGCTCTTCCTTACCGTCCACCACAAACCCTCTCCCTTGGCCTGCCATTCCCTCTGCTTATGCTCTCTCTCTCTGTCAAATAAATAAAATCTTAAAAAAAAAAAATCTAATCAAGACTCTAGACTTGACTTCCAGTTTAAAAGAACCAGAGGAGAAATAAACGATAACATGGTGACACCACCCAACTTCAAGGCTTACAATAAAGCTAGTTATCAAGACAGTGTGGTACTGGCAAAAACAGACAAATAGATCAATGCAACAGATTAGACAACCCAGAAGGGGTCTTAACCAAGACCCCTTGGCTTCTTAACAAAGAAGCAAACGCAATACAATCGAGCAAAAACAGTCTCTTCAACCAACGGTGCTGGAACAACTGAACATCCACATTCAAAAAAATTAATCCAGACAGACCTTACACATGTCACAAAAATTAACTCAAAGTGGATCATAGACTTAATTATAAAACACAAAACTATCAAATGCCCAGAAGATAACCTAAGAGAAAGCCTAGATAGGTTTTCCAGAGTATGGTGATACCTTTCTAGATTCAACACCAAAGACATAATCCATGAAAGAAATAACTGGTAAGCTGGACTTCATTAAAATTAACGACTTTTGCTTTGCAAAAGTCAGTATCAGAAGAATATGAAGAAAAGCCAGAAACTGGGAGAAAATATTTCCAAAAGACACAACTGATAAAGGACTATTATCCAAAATATACAAAGAATTCTTGAAATAAAAAAAAAAAATCCAATTTACAAGTGGGCCAAAGACCTCACCAGACACCTCATCAAAGAAGATACACAGATGGCAAATAAGCATATGAAAAGATGCTCATCATATGTCACCGGGGAAACACAAACTGAAACAATGAGATATACATCATACGCCACCAAGAAATGAAAATTAAAACAATGAGATACACATCATACATCATCTGAGCAATGCAAATTTAAAACAACAACGATAGCACCACACACCTATCAGAATACCAAAACCCAGAACACAGACAATACCAAATGCCAGGGAGGATGTGGAGCAACAGAACTCTCAGACATTGTTGGAAGGAATGCAAAATATCCTTGGAAGACAATCTGATGGTTTCTTAAAAAGTAAACATACTCTTACTATACAATGCAGCAATTGTACTTTTTGGTATTTACCCAAATGAGTTGAAAACTATGTCCACAAAAACCTGCACATGTTTATACAGCTTTATTCGTAACTGCCAAAACTTAGATGCAACCAAGATATCCTTCAGTAGGTGAACAAATAAACTATGGTACATCCAGACAAGAGAATATTATTCAGTGCTAAAAAGAAATTACCAAGCCTTGAAAAGACAGGGAGGAAACTAAAATATATATTACTAAGTGCAGGAAGCCAATCTGAGAAGGCTACATACTGTGTGACTTACAACTAACACTCTGGAAAAGCCAAAACTGGATACAATGAAAAGATCAGTTGGGTGGGAGAGGAGATAAATAGGCAGATCACAGTGAAAATACTCTATAATGATGGATATATGTCATTATACGTTTGTCCAAACCCAGTGAACGCACAACACCGAAAGTGAACCCTTAAGGAAACGAAGCGCTGATTGTGATGTGTCAAAGTAGGTTCAATCTTGGTGAAAAAATGTACCATTATGGGAAGTGATGGTGGTAATGGAGGAGACTGTGCATGAGTGGGGGCAGGGAGCATATTGGAAATCTCTGTACCTTCTTCTCAATTTAGTGTAAACCTAAAACTGTTCTAAAAAAAAAAAAAAGAAAGTTTATAAAAAAAGGGCAAATCATTAAAACATACAGTTCTTCAAAGACAGATGGTCAATAAACATCTGAAAAGATGCCTAACATCATTAGTCATTAGAGAAAAGGAAATCAAAACCACTAGTATGGCTGTAATCAAAAAGACATAATTAAAGATACTGGTGAAGATGTGGAAAAACTGGAACTCTCATGCACTGCTGGTGGGGTAGCCACTTTGGAAAAGTCCGTCAGTGTCTCAAAATGTTAATCAAATGTCTCAAAAATTCTACCTCATGGTATATACCCAAGAGAAATTAAGATTTATGTCTGCATTTGTTGTATATTTGTACAAAAATGTTAATAGCAACATTATAATAGCAAAAAGTGAAAACAACTCAAATGTAGTATTTCCATCCAACGGAAGAGTATTTGGCAATCAAAAGGAATGAAATCCTGCAACATACCACAACACAACTGAACCCTGAAAACATCACGCTAGGTGAAAGAAGCCAGTCACAAAGACTACATGGTAACTCTTTTAATGAAATGTCCAAAACAGGCAAATTTATAAAAATACAAAGTATATAAGTGGTTGTCTAGCGCTGGAAGATTGGGGGGAAATGTGGAGTGATTACTAATTGGGATGTCGATTCTATTGGGTTGATGAAAATATTCTAAAATTGATTGTAGTGACAGTCGCACAACTCTGCGAATACACTAAAAACAACTGGACGCTTCCAGTCGGTGAACTGTATAGTCTGTGCATTATACCTTAATAAAGCTGTTTATTTTTAAGTGTCTTTACTATGTAAATGCTAAAGTCAGCAAGAAACAAGGAAGTAACTAAAGAAATGAAAAACGTGGCTGGAGTATCAGCAACCATAATGCGATGTTAATTCAGAACAAGGAAGACCACTGGTTCAAGAAACTAAAGGAAGATGAAAGCACGTTAAGATTTGTGACACAAACCAAGGAGATTCCAAAGATACTAGCCCCATTCAAATCCATACTGCACCATTCGGATTCACTTGCGTTTCGTGACAGGGGCCATTTCAGTTTGAACAAGAAAATTCTTCTCTGTGCACACATTATAGGTGGTTTAACATCCCTACATACTGCATGTTAATAACACTACCTACGGATTTTGACTGAAGATGCTTCCACAGATCTCCAAACGCCCTCAAGTTAAAGAATCACCAGGGCTACTGAAGCATTCCCTATGAGACTTCATGCAGACTATCAAAGTCTGATCTACCTTGGAATAAAAGATATTCAACAATACATATGTAACAAGAAAGAGAGGAGGTATTTCCTTGCTTTCTTTTCTCTGCTGCTAAAACATCCTATCTAATCAAGAGTTTCAAAGGACCTACAAATTCCTCCACGCAGCTCTAGATCTCCGAGTTGTGAGTTTGAGCCCCACAATGGGTGTGGAGATTACTTAAGGGAAAGAAAAGAAAAGAAAAGAGAAGAGAAGAAAAGAAAAAGAGAGAAAGAGAGAGAGAGAAAGAAAGAAAGAGAAAGGAAGGAAGGAAGGAAGGAAAGAGAAAGAAAGAAAGAGGAAGGAAGGAGAAAGAGAAAGAAAGAAAGAAAGAAAGAAAGAAAGAAAGAAAGAAAGAAAGAAAGAAAAGAAAGAAAGAAAGAAAAGAAAGAAAGAAAGAAAGAAAGAAAAGAAAGAAAGAAAGAAAAGAAAGAAAGAAAGAAAGAAAAAGAAAAAGAGAAACAGAAAGAGGTCACAGAAACAACAATCCTTCTGGAAGAACAGGAACTGCAACACAGTAAAGAGAGAAGGATCTACCAAACATACTACAAAAGTAAACAGTATGCTTCCTAAATGGCTGATTAAAAAAAAATGAATGAAGGGAAAGGAAAAAGGAAAACAATGAATGAAGGAATCACTGAATGAATGAACAGTCCAATCAGTATCTTCAGCTACTGAAATGGGGTACACGGGAGCCCCTGGGTGGCACAGTTGGTTGAGCATCCGACTCTTGATTTCAGCTCAGGTCACGATCTCAGGGTCATGAGACTGAGCCCTGTGTCAGTCCCTGCCCTGGGCGTGGAGCCTGCTTAAGATTCTCTCTCCTCTCCCTCCGCCCCTCTCCCCACCCTCTCTCAAAAAAAAGTAAGAAAGGGGGCACATCAAGGCAGCAAAATTTAGCAGTACCTTTTACTGGGAATATCTAACACCCTTTGTTCTAATCCTGCGCCCTCTAATCAACTTCCTGGTATTTACTCCGTTTATCGTTACACTTTTCTTCATTCATTCATTCATTCATTCAAGTATTTACTGAACACCTACAAATGCCAAGTATCATTCTAGGCACTTCAAACGTATCGATGAACTAAAAAGACAAAAAAATCCCTGCCCTTAGAGAAAGTATAATCTAGTGGCGGAGACAGGGAAATAAATGGGTAAACTATACAGTACTTAAGAAGGCAGTAAACAGGGGCGGCTGGGTGGCTCAGTCGTTGGGCGTCTGCCTTCGGCTCAGGTCATGATCCCAGGGTCCTGGGATCAAGCCCCGCATCGGGCTCCCTGCTCCGCGGGGAGCCTGCTTCTCCCTCTCTCACTCCCCTTGCTTGTGTTCCCCCTCTTGCTGTGTTTCTCTCTGTTGAATAAATAAATAAAATCATTAAAAAAAAAAAAAAGAAGGCAGTAAACAGGACCAAAAGACAGCTGTAAGAGAAGTCCAGTCCAATAAACCCAAATGTGTGTGTCTCACTGGGAGTTTTTAGTAAAATGGCATTGATAAACTACAACAAATCTCTTGCCTGTTCAATGTACACAAGTGTCCCTCATGACTGAGTACTTCCTAACAGGAAAAGTTAAAAAGCTTATCCTAGGGGCGCCTGGGTGGCTCAGGTTAAAGGTCTGCCTTCGGCTCAGGTCATGATTCCAGGGTCCTGGGATCGAGCTGTGCACTGGGCTCCCTGCTCAGCAGGGAGGCTGCTTCTCCCTCTCCCTCTGCCCCTCCACCCGCTCGTGGTCTGTCTCTCTCTCTCTCTCTCTCTCAAATAAATAAAACCTTAAAAAAAAAAAAAAAAAGCTTATCCTAAACAACAGTGACCCCCAGCAAGATACCGCCAGTCCTGAGGCCTCAACTACTGTCACCAT